AAAAAAAAAAAAAAAAAAGTGGGATGAGGGGTTGTAGCTCAGTGTAGAGAGCTTGCCTGGCATGCAAAAAGTCCTGGGTTTGATCCAGCAACACACAACCACACACACACATACACGAATAGACAATGAACATGTGAAAATGTGCTCAACATTGTTAGCTACAATGGAAATGTAAATCGAAACTTCAGAGAATTACCACTTCACACCCATAGGGATGGCTATAATAAAGAAGAAAGATAAACCAGGCATGGTAGCACCTGCCTGTAATCCTGTAATTCCAGTTGTCCAGAAGGCTGAGCAGGAGCAAGAGGATTCCAAATTCAAAGCTCACCTAGGCAATTTAGTGAAATTCTGTCCAAAAAAAAAAAAAGAAGTGGGGAGGGGCTGGGATACAGCTCATGGTACAGCATCCCTAGGTTCAATGCGCAGTACTGTAACGAATAAAACGAAAGAGGAATGAAGGGAGGAGAGTTAAGGAGGAAGAGGAAAAGAAGGAAGAAAGAAGATAATGTTGGCAAGGATGTGAAGAAATTGGAGCCCTCACACATTCTTCCAAGAATTATAAAATAATACAGTTGAAGAAAAGTTATGCAGTTCCTCATAGAGGAAATTAGAATTACTATGTGGTTCAGCATTTCTACTTCCATTTATATGTTCAGGAGAAATGAAAACACATGTCCACAAAAAACCTTACACACTAACTAAAAACAAATAATGGCTGGGCGTGGTGGTGCACACATGTAATCTCAGCACTCGGGAGGCTGAGGCAGAAGGATCGCTGTGAGTTCGAGACCAACCTGGGCTACATAGTGAGTTCCAGGTCAGTCTCAACGACATAGTGAGACCCTGTCTTAAAAAACCAAAAAAACAAACAAAATAAAAACAAATAATGCATACTGCAACATATATGAACCTTGAAAGTGTTAAGCTAAATCAAAGAAGGTAGAATAGGGAAATATAAAGATAGTATGTAGGTTACTGGAGGCAATAGGGTTGGCTAAAGGTGACAGCCAATGGGTAGGAAGTTTCTTAGCAGGGGTGATGAGATGCCTTCAAATTTATTGTGGGGCCGGGGATTTAGCTCAGTGGTTCTGGTGCCTGCTTTGCAAGTGCAAGGACCCGAGTTCGATCACCAACACCCCCCCAAAATTTTTTTATTGTGATGGCAGGTAATCACACAGCACTGTGGATATGCTAAAACTATTGAACTGTTCACTTTAAAAGGGTGAGCTGTATGTCATATGAATTATACTTCAATAAAGTTATTTTAAAAGTCCATATATGAATAAAAGACAACTTAAAATTCTGAAAAGCTTTATTATGATAAACTAAAACAAGGAGGCAATTAAGCATGAAGTAATTTCATCCCCTCCCATACCAGGGATCGAACTCAGGACCTTGCACTTGCAAGGCAGACGTGCTGGCACTAAGCTACAACCCTGGTCCATAATCTTATAAAGGTATACGGCATGTTACAAACTCTGAAATAAACTAGTTTATAATCCAACTCCTTTAAAGGATTTATATTCATTGAAATTAAGTTTTATACTTTTGCAAAGATGTAATCTTTGTTACAGGAGAGACATATTTAACCTAAATACACAATGTACATGCGCTGGGGATTTGGTTCAGTGGTTCTGCTGCCCGCCTCGCAAGTGCAAGGGTCCGAGTTTGATCTCCAATCCACCCCTCTCCAAAAAAAACCCAACGCATTGTATAGATGTTGCTCAGAGGTTAATATGCATAACAGTAGTATTCATCTTTGTTAAACAGCTGTACAAAGCTATTACCTTAAAATATGAAAAAAGGTAGTTCAGGAAATATTTCAAGCAATACATTTAGAAGGAATGTTTCTTTGTGATTAACATTATTCCACTAAGTACATACAGTGGTCATGAGTTCTCACAGAATTGCACATAGGATTATATATGCCAATATTAATATGCTCCACATTCTAAGAGATTTGAAAACAAAAATGATTCAAAGATATAGACTACAATTCAACAAATTTGGTTACAGAAAGTCCTTTTTATTACAGAACGTGTAAGTATGTTTATAAACTTTAGTAGGCAAAAAATAATTGAGTCATATATATTCCTTTGCAATTTTCATATCTAATTTTTTTACAGCATTAATCCTACACATACAAAAACTTAATAATTTCAGTAGAAAATGGTTTGATTTTACTCACAACTTTCAGAGCCATAATTCTAATATATATTGAAATCTAAAACTATTTGCAAATAGAGATAATCAAGAATATGTATTTTTTAAATTGGATAAATGGCAAGAACATACTGAGATGTCAACCAGGAAATCGTTATTTACTTTATAAAAGATTCTTAAATATATAGAACAATTATAATCAGTAACACAGTCCTTTAAATATTCATGGATTAAAAGTAAATTTACCAAAAAGCAACTTACATACATTTAAAAACACCAATCAACTGAAAAAAAGAATCACTATTTTTAGCCACAAAAACCATGAAAGGGGTTTTTTAATTTGGTACCAGGAATCAAACTCGGGCCCTTGCACTTACAAGGCAGGCAGCAGAACCACTGAGCCAAATCCCCAGCCAGGAAAGGATTTTAATAGTTCAAAAATACAAGGATCTAAAACAATTGATTTCTCAGAGATAAAATAACTTAATAAGATAGCTATTAAAGAAATTAATAATCTACTTTTAAGCATATTTTCAGCCACAAGCTGTGGCACAGTTGACTTCCATTTCTGCTACTCTGAATCAATGTGGACTATGAAAGAGTGTCACAATATTGAGGCTACTGGCAATTTGGATTAGTGTCCTTGAAAAAAAATGCTGCCTAGGGCTGGGGATTTAGCTCAGTGGTTCTACTGCCTGCCTTGCAAGCACTAGGTTCTAAGTTCGATCTCTAGTACAAACAAAAATGCTGCCTACACACACACAAAAAAAAAAAATTTTTTTTTTTTTTTTGGTTTTTTTGTGACAGGGTCTCACTATGTAGTTGAGACTGATCTGGAACTCACTATGTAGCCCAGGCTGGTCTCAAACTCACAGCGATCCTCCTGCCTCAGTCTCCCAAGTGCTGGGATTAGAGGCGTGTGCTGGCTACACACACAAAAATTAATGAAGAAAAGTTAGTGCTCAAATAGATGACATACTCCTTCAGTTGCAAAACTACCAGTTGAACAAAAAGTACCAAGATACTGATGCTGAAGTTAGAGAAAATATAAACCAGCTGAGTCAATTTAAATATGTTAATCAAGTAAGTTTTATTTTTACACAGTTTGGTATTTGGAAAGCTAAATAAACTAGCAAGCTAGACATCCTTAACAGGGATTTGCTTATTACTGCTCTGAGGTTAACAGTGACAATAGCTGAGGGAGGACTTTTTGAAACCTTTTTTTTTTGCAGTGTTGGGGATTGAACCCAGGGCCTTATGCATGCTAAACAGGGGTTCTATCACTGAGCTACACCCTCAGCCCCACTCTATTGATGAGGAAAAAGTTATCAACAGTGTCATGGGAAATATTTGGGTAAATAAAAAGTAAACAGAATAAAGTTAAGGCACTTAATGCAATGGCTTACAATATCAAGGAGAAAGTATGTTTTGTTGATTCTTCTACCCCAAACTGATACACATTGCTCCTTTAATAAATCTTTATTATCAAACCTAACAACTGTAAATTACCAAGTGTAATTACTTGTAGATCCTTACAGATCATTTGTTACTCTGCAAATAAGTAAGGAACTACATGCTTCCAACTCAGTTTTTCAGTAGAGTGCTATTGTTTTAGCTACAGTTAAAGCAGAAGTAAGTTTGCCTCTTAATTACCATTTCTTTTATAAAAGCTTGCTTTTCTCTTTCAATTGATGCCAAATGAAAATTCATTACAGTATTGAAAAAATTCAATTAAGAATTTCTCCAAATCCATTTTATTTAAGGAGTTGACAGAAGCAGAATCAACATACTAAAATGGCAAACAGGGCTGGGGATTTAGCTCAGTAATACCACACCTGCCTGGCAAGCTTGAAGTCCTAAGTTTGACCCCTGCTATAAAAATAAAATAAATACAATAAAATAAAATGGCAAACAAAACATAACTGCCAAAACTAATTCAGCATGTGATCACAGTATAAGTCAACTGAAAAAAAAAATTTTTGTACCAAGGATCGAACTCAGGACCTTGAACTTGTGAGGCAGGTGGTGGAACCACTAAGCTAAATCCCTGGCCCAAGCCATTTGGAATTTAATTAAATATTTCACATTACATAGAAAGTGGGTTATCCTACTTTCTCTTCAAAATATGCAAGCTGACTTTTATTTATTTATTTATTTTGGTACAGGGGACTTGGGACACTACACTTGCAAGGCAGGCAGCAGCACTGAGCTAAATTCCCGGCCGGCAAACTGACTTTTAAATCACACATTTTATATGCTCTAATCACAAGTACTACATGTGATAATTTATTCTATACTTAAGTAGGTATGGTAATATTTTCATAAAATTTGATGCTAAACAGAAGTCACTACTTAGATATACATCATCACCTAAAGTACATTGCCTGCAACTATCAGAACATAGTTGCAACAATTATATGTGAAATAAAACCAACAAATGTATCAGATATATGCACTCTGATACAGTTCTTAAGCTCTAAAAGAGCAAAGCATCCTAGAGTTACTCTAAGAATAAATGTACTTTAATAAATGTGTGTTTATGCTACAGAAAATAAAAACAGAAAGATGTTCCCTCTTAATGGAGCAATTTAGAGTTCCACAAATGAAAAAAAAAATTATTTTTTGGTACCAGGGATTGAACTCCAGTCCTTATGCTTGCAAGGCAGGCAGCAGAGCCACTGAGCTAAATCCCCAGCCCCCAAAAATGAAATTTTTACACTACTCTAACAAGTAAAGTTTGAAAACCTGTTCACTGAACAGGTATATAAGGCAAAACTAATTATGCATCTCATCTCATTAAAATGATACATCTAAAGCTGTATCTAACCTGAATCTCTTTAAAAGGCCAAATTAGGGTTGGGGATTAGCTCAGTAGTGCCGACACCTGTCCTGCAAGAGCAAGGTCCCAAGTTCAATCCCCAGTACCAAAACAACCCGTCAAATTAATTGTTTTAGAGTTCTTTTCATAAATGATCAAAAATATTAAAGAAACATAGCATTTACACTGTGAAACTGAGTTTTAAGTTTTTTTATAATTTTTTTCTGGGTGTAGAAAATTCTATCACAGATTTGTAAATGATGTAATTTGTATTCTATTTTAGTTATTTTTTGTGGTACTGGGGATCAAACTTAGGACATTGCGCTTGTGAGGCAGGCAGTGGCACCACTGAGCTAAATCCCCAGCCCTATCAGCTGTATTTTAGAGTATGTGTATGCAGAGGTGTGTTTAACAGCATCTACATATACCTCAAAAACTGGTACATTGTAGTGTACATATCAACAGTTTTTTAATACTTTCATACAAAATATGTGAACAGACTGTATACCCTACATCTGTATTTTTTAAAAATATGAACAATATTCTTTTAAAGATTCATGTAAAAATATATATTTATATGTAAGTAACAAGAGTTATTGTTTTATCATGATTAAACTATTATCAAATTAATGGGCATAAGTGAAAAAGATAATGACTTCTAAAGAGACATAAAATAATAAAATTTAATAACCTGTGCTATGTATTACTAAGAAAGTGCTCACTTATAGAAGCACCGGGTAAGAGTGGTATCATGAAAAACTGTAGATATACTTTTATATATATCCTTAAAATATCTTCTATAACTTCAATTTTAATTTAAATGTCACAGATTTTCAACATTTAGTTTTTTATTGTAAAATTTCAGTTCATTAAAACATTTTCAGCAACCTGCTTGAAGAATCATCTTTCCTTCTATTATATAATATCACACTATGTATTTACTGAAATTATGTTTGAGAAATATATTTACCACAAACACATTCAAATTCAAGATCAGTATTATAGAATGCAGATGTATGAGGAAACACTGAAATAACTTTAAAGACCATGTGACAGTAAGGAAGAAACCTGTCTGGAATATTGCACAGTGACAGATTTGACATTTGACTCAGATCAGTAATGCTTGATCTTCTGTTTCTCACAAAACTCTGAGCCCAGTTAACAGCAGGAGGGAAAAGGAGCAGCAGCATTTTACATGTCCACAGTTTGATCTGCCTCAGACACCAGGTAGGTAAAAGAAAACCACATTTTACTTCAGGTACAGTAAGTCTTTGAAATGAAGGCTCTGTTACTTTTCAAGACTGGAAGGATATCACAGTGTTAATTTTATATACAAAGTAGGATCTGTTCCAGTATACTCTAGTGAAATAATTTACATATGGAGAATAGTTAATTTTGACCTCATGACAAAATCGTCCATATTTTGAGTAGGTTAACTTGTCACCTTCTTCACAAACCACCTACCAAAAGACAAGTATAATATTAAAAAGCTTATTAAGCTTACAGGGAAAAAGCAACCCATGTATAAGTCATTGTATTTATATTGCTAAACATATTATAAAATATCTTACATGAACCTCTTTAAAAGTGACTCATCACACACACTCCAGAACTCAGCAGTGAGAAACCAGAATAAAATGTTTCTAATTTTTTAAAGTTTTAATCCTAAAAGGTAGTAAGCACTATTTTCATAATCCAGTATGATGATTCTGAAGAACTATAAACAGAGTCTACCAAGGCTAAGAAATGAACATATTATATTCCTAGCACATCTTCAAACTCTTCTCATGAAGAATTTACAATCATTGAGTAACCAAGTAAATGTGTATACAGACTCACCTAATGCAAACCTCTACATCCTCACCTAATGTTCACTAAGACAGCCTAGTTCACTTAAAGGGTTGATTTTTTAAATAATAAATACTAAGTATTATTCTAATGCATATGAAAGATGTCAGAGAGTCAACTTTAAAAGTAAAAGGACGGATTATCTTAAGTCTATGCCTGGCTTACATAAAAGACGCTTGATCTTCAAAGCAGAGCGAAAAGGTGGGCAGCCAAGAGCAGAGGAGAAAGGCTCCAGACAGCAGGTAGCTACATAGCAGTAATTAGTAACAATGCTTAATTGCATTCCATTCTTTCGCCAAAAAATCAAAGGTCACAGCCATCAAGTACCAAAAGAGATAATTCAAAATATATGCAGCATAAAACAGCTAGTTTATATTGCAAGCTTAAGGAGACATGAAGAAAATAATAATGGCTGAAGGGAGGGCAGGGGAATGGGGAAAAAAATAAGAACCAAGACACATCACATAAGCAAGGTGCAAGATTCCAATGATGAATATAACTGTACTGTATATCTAAAATGTACCAATAAACAATGGGAAAAAAAAAAAAGAAAAATGGCAATCTCTAAAACTAATTTCTTACCTCCAAACTGGTTTTAGATGATAAAATAAAGACTATTTAGGAAGGGACAGAAAAAAGCTTGGCTCAGCCTAAACAGAATACTCACTACCTCTTAGAATGCTATACGAACCTTTCCTAATGCCTCCTATTCCCAATTTTCTCTGGAGTAAAGGCTTCCATTTCTGGCAACACTAATTAATGACACACAAACTCTATCAGTCTTGTTACCAGATATACAAGATATAAATCCACTGCCAGCTAAGAAGGAGGATGAAACTGATGAAGAAATTAGGAGCCAGCCAAACCCTAACAACTAAAGTAGCTCTGAATATTCTAATCTTTGGGATAACAAAGGCTCACTGAAGTCACTGTGTTAGTTTAGTAAGCATTTCTTTTAGATATGAATCAAATTAAATTCAATTACTAAACATACGCATACGACAATTCAAATAGCTGCTTTTCAGATTATTATAATGCATTTCAGAAACTCATTCAAATTTTTTTGTTTATAAATGTTGAAACATACATAAGTATAGTCAATAAATTAGGAATTTGGGTATTAGGAAAATAACTTCTTTTGCAACATCTTTTTTTTTTTTTTTTTGAGATAGGGTCTTTCTATGTAATTTAGGCTGGCCTTCTGGCCCTGAACTCACTATGTAGCCCAGGCTGCCCTCGAACTCCTGGCAAGCCACCACACCTGGCTTCACAATACCTTTTTGTACATTGATTAAAATGTGCCATTTTTTTCTTGTATTTTATACTGTACTGTCTCTGGACCTTGGGCTTGCAAGGCAAGCATGGCACCGCTGAGCTACATCCTTGGCCTAACTCAATTGTATTCTTAGTTAAGTTACAAAAGTAAAGTTTGAAGATAATCAGTTTAATTAATGGTTACTTACATGGCCATTTGCAATGTCTAATAAGTCTTTAACCCTACAGCCTCTCATGGTTCCCACCTCATTGCAGATAGCATCTTCTACTATTAGGTAGTTAGCCTTGTAGGATGTCAGAATTTTATAAATATCCTCAGCAGATCTCTTTGAATAGATTTGATAAATCTGGAATAAAATTAAAACATTTAAAAAGACATTGAAAGCTTGTATTAATCACACCTATCCATTCACCATCTGCATTCTTAGTGCTGAGTACTATGTATGGAAAATAAAGATACCTATTGAGACTTGATTTTTGTCCCCAAGAAGCTTATACTCATGTTTCATAGTGATCACATTTAATATAAGTTAGTTAGCAAAAACTATACAGCTGGGCATGGTGGCTCAGGCCTATAACTCAGCGCTCAGAAGGCTGAGGGAAGATGGTTTCAAGTTTGAGGCCAACCTAGGCAATTTGAAGACTGGCCTGGACTACACAAGACCTTGTCTAAAACACACCCACCAAGGGCTAGAGATTTAGTTTAGTGGCACTGTATCTGCCTCGAAAATGCAAGGTCCTGAGTTTGATCCTCAGTTTGGGGGTGGGAAAAGGGGTACCACCAAAAGAGGAAGAGGAAGAGGAAGAGGAGGAGGAGGAGGAGGAGGAGAATCCTTGTGTAGTGAATAAAAAGTATATTACAGAAAACTTTAAAGATAAAGATCTCCTGTTCGGGAATGAATTTTCCAGGTTTACTTATATGAGTACATTTAAACTTCCTAAGGTTGGCCTTAGTATGTTCCATAGAAATTTAAGAACTTGAGAGAAATTTTCTGAGAAACTACCAACTTACTTTGGCTGAAACAAATAAAAAACAAAGATAATATGAGGTGTGATAAAAGCATATAGTAAATGTTTTAATTTTTTTAAAGATTTATTAAAAGACATTATCTAATTCCCCTCTAATTACTTCCCCTGAATTTAAAAACACTTATCCTAACCTTATTGTCACTTTCTGAAGCAGTTCTGGGAGTCTTGTTTGTGTCTTTTTTTGTGCTGTCATGGCTATCTGGATGTCATGAATCAAAACCATTTACCTTTCATGGTCATTTTGACATGGGGAAGAGCCAGAAGCCCCATAGTGCCAGGTCTGGTGAATGAGGTGGATGAGGACACACGGTCATGTTTTTACAAGTCCGCCTTCCATTGGATGGCACTAGGTAGCACTCAGTTTTGTTTTGTTTGGGTTCTTTTTGGTACTGGGCATGGAACTCAGGACCTCGCACTTGCGAGGCAGGCACAGTGCCACTAAGCTGAATCCCCGGTCCTACTCACTGTATTTTTAATCACATTTTATAGCAGGACTTCATGTCCTTTTTTTTTTTGGTACCAGGGATTGAACTCGGGTCCTGGCACTTGCAAGGCAGGCAGTGGAACCACTGAGCCAAATCCGCAGAATTAGATCACATTTTATAAAGATGCTCAGGAAAGAAGTTTTCAGAATTGCTTCAGAAAGTGGGGAGAAGGATGGGATAAGTGTGTTTGAAATGATGGTGGGTATTATCATGGGGAGTACCATGAGGGGGACTGGTGGCAGTGTCTTTTACTGCGATAAATTTTTGAAATTTAAACACACACCATATTTTTGATCACCCTTTGTAGTTTGTATGTTGAGACTGTTTCTCATGAATATAATATTTAAGATATCCCACTGAAGTATGTAAAAATAAGTGAGCAATAATTTAGGCAAGCTTAGCAATCACTGACATTTAAAGAGATGGCTTCATTTTTTTTTTTCCCCCTTTATTTCTGGGGATTGAACCCAAGTCCTCAGGCATGCTAGGCACATCCCTTACCACTAAGCTACAACTCTGGTCCTTTTAAATTTTTTTTTTTTTTTTTTTTTTTTTTTGTATCAGGGATCAAACTTAGGTCCTTCCACTTGCAAGTCAGGTGGCAGCACCACTGAGCTAAATCTCTGGCCCCCTTTTTAAATTTTTAAACAGGGCCTTACCGAGTTGCCCAAACTGGCCATGAGCCTACAATCTTCCTGCCTCAGCCTCCTGAGTTGGGATTACAGGTGTGTGCCACTGCACCTGACACAGAGATGGACTTCTTTTTTTTTTTTTCTTGAGACAGGGTCTCACTATATAGTTGAGACTGACCTGGAACTCACTATGTAGCCCAGGCTGGAACTCACAGTGATCTAATGATCTTCCTGCCTCTGCCTCCTGAGTACTGAGATTACAGGCATGTGCCACCACACCCGGCTGAGATGGACTTCTTAAAGCAAGGTCCATTGAACACATCATAAAGAATGCTCCAAGACATGTTTTGCTATTGTTTGTGGCTTTTTTTTTCTCCCAACTGTGAGTGATGAAAGCACAGACCTTAGGAATATGCAATGTATATAAAAACAAACTGGAAGGGGGCCAGGTATATCACACATGTTAAGTGACATATTTTCATAGATGACAAATTTCCTCATTAGAACCTATTAAAATCTTAATAATAAGCTATACTTGACAGATCTCACTCTAATATTTGCTCCTGAAAAAAATAGACTCTATACACACTCCAGATTTACAGTTATGCAATGTGGCTTCTTGAATTAGACATGGGACCAGAAAAAAGTCATTTGTGGTAAAACTGATGAAAATCCAAATAAAGCCCAAGTTTAGTCAATCATATTGCACCAATGCTGATTTGCTAGGTTTGACAATGTGCCAGTTACGTGAGATGCCAACGATGGAAGACAGCTAGGTGAAGGGCAAACAGCTAACTCTCTGCAGTACACAGCATTTGCAATCTTTCTATAATCATCCAAAATTTAAAGTTTATTTTAAAAATTCCTATTTAGATTTCTACCTTATATTTACAAACAACAGGCCAAGAGGTAAGAGATGCCTGTGTCAGAATTAGGTATAGGGCTGGGGATTTAGCTCAGTGGTTCCATAGCCTGCCTCGCAAGTACAAGGACCCGAGTTCAATTTCTGACACACACTCCCCAAAAAAGAATTAGGCATAATCTCGTTGATTTTTTTAAAATTTATTTGTTTGTTTGTTTTTTATTGCTCTGGGCTTTTTTAGTTGATTTTTTTTTTTTTTTTGAGTGATGAGGATCAAATCCAGGGCCTCACATATGCAGGGCAACAATTCTGCCAACCCTTTTAGTATTGTATACTTTTTGTCCTGAAAATATGGAGACTTGAAATCTAGCCTGAATAGGATTCCAAACTACTTGAAGAATACTCAGTAGCTTTGTGCCTAGGTGATGGCTCTCTAGCCGCTTCAGGTTTAATATCCTGTGTGGGGGCCACACTGAATGTTAACAGGTCAAAGGGAATTGCTCACTCATTTTGTTGTGTTAAATAAGTTTTTTCAGGAAGGATTCTACCCTACCCAGCCTATACCTACTGGCTGTTTACATACATTTTCATTTGTTTTAAATCTCAGGAAACTGTAATAAACTCTGGGCATTAAAAACATTCACCAGGGGCTGGGGATTTAGCTCAGTGGTTCCAGTGCCTGCCTCGAAAGCACAAGGACCTGAGTTCAATCCCCCACCCCCGGACCAAAAAAAAAAAAAAATTTCACCAAAACATTCACAACTGAGCCCAGAGCAGCTTCTCAAGCTCAGCTGTTCTGACACCAAGGTGAGGCAGCTCCTTGCTGGGACAGAATGGAGCTGCTCTGAACACTGCAGAACATTTTCCAGGACACCTCGTCTTTACCACCAGATGTCTACAGAACGCACCACCTGCTGTGCCAACCAAAAATATCTGCAGACACTGCCAAATGTCCACTGGGGACACAATCACCTCAGGTTGAGAATAAGTGGACTGGGAGGTTAGACAAAGATTAGTCATATTCTACAAATCAGAGACAGTGTCTAAATGATAGTCTCATCCTGGAGTTCTTTTTGGATTTTGAAAAACAACCAATTTATTCAGTATCTGCTAGGTATTTACTACAATCCACAGAGAAAGATAAAAGTTTGGGGAAAAAAACAGGGTTACTATTTTCAGAGCCATAGTTATGATTTCCATAAAACTGGAAATTCTAAAATGCTTTAATTATTTAGAACTCTGACCTAATTATAAGTGATTCTGAAATTCTGTTCTAGGAAAAAGTTCTATCAAAAGAAAACAGGCTGGGCTGGGGATTTAGCTCAGTGGTTCCACCGCCTGCCTCACAAGCACAAGGTCTCAAATTCAGTCCCTGGTAACCAAAAAAAGAAAACAGGCTGATGCAGGATTATCACAATTTCAAGGGCAGACTGGGCTACATAGTGGGTTCAAGGCCAGCCTGAATGACAGACAGAGTGAGACCCTGTCTCACAAAAACAAAAAAGAGGCCAGGGATTTAGCTCAGTGGTTCTGCCGCCTGCCTTGCAAGTGTAAGGACCCGAGTTCGAGTCCCAGTACCCCCCCAAAAAATCATAGAAAAGTTATAGAAAAAAACAAGAAAGAAAGACAGACAGACAGACTTACAGAGTTAGCTGTTTTAAATCCACAGGGGGGAAAAAAAGTTCAGGATATGCTATATCTATATTCTGCCTGAGCAACACCTCCTTGAAGTACCACAAATACTAATTCAAGAGGCTGCTGTCTCCCAGGCAAAGCACCCTGAGGTAGATCTCCCCCTCTCTTATCGCTCCTATGCCTGCTTCCATCTGCTCCCTCTGCTGTGACCATAACTAACTCTCTAAAATAGATTTAATCATTCTACTGCCAGGCTTATTAAAGGCCTTTGTCTCCAACTGCCTCAAGGACAAGACTAAATCCTTCAGCATGACATTGCAGGTCCTTCAGAATTTGGCCTCCATTTTATTTTCTAGTTTTGTGCCCATACAAATTTTTTGTCTTTGTATAACTTTTTCAGCCTAGAATCATAAGCATTCCTTTTGCAAACAAGTTTCTAATTAACTTTCAAACCCACATCAAGGATGATCTTTATGATGACTTCTTAGATTTCTGTAGCAGAACTGATCATTTTTGCCTTCAGATTCCACGTGTACTTTGTGCCCGTGTATATGTAATTATGATTTACTAGTGCAGAGTGAAACACCATAATAGCTAACTTTAAATTTTACTGCATTTTAAGCACAGTACATTACCTGACTTAAGTGTCACAGTAGAAGAGAACTATTTATTGTTATTATTTCCAGATTTAGTAACCTACTCAAGATCGGAATGCTAGTATGTGGCAGAACTAGAATTTGAGGCCAGATGCTCTAACTTCAGAGTCTACATTCTTAACCTCTTTAGTACTGAAGTATTACTAAGAGCCCTTATCAAAAAATAACTAAAAATTTATAATAAATAGAATTTTAGCCACAGTGAATCAACACTTTAACTGACAGCTTTCCTTCAACATAAGAATAACAATATTTTCAAAGCAAAGTTTCCCTTTCTAAAATATTACACAACAGTTTCCTTGATATTAGGTGGAAAAGTAAATGTTTTTTTTAGAAACACATTAGTGCTATTCATAAAACAAAGAACTTACTTATTTTAACTTTGGGTTTTCCCCTTGCCTAAATGTATTATACAGATTTTAAAAACTACAACTATAATTACTGGGGTTTACAGCCACACTAACCTGAATGCACTGCTTCTAAAATTGTCTAAAATTGTTTGGCCTTTCTTAGCTAACTAGGAATATATATATCACTGCAGAACTATATTGAATAAATAATGCTATTTAAAAATCCAAATGTAGAATGTAAAATACCTTACATTTTCATTTCTCTTGAGAAGATCATCATCATTATAGAGAGGCAAGCTTGTCACCATCCATCCTGTGCACAATTTAATCACTCCCATTAACTGTGGGCTCCCTGCAAACACAGCTGCAATTGGAGCTTGTCTTCTGCAAAGAGCCAAAAGATTCACACAATGAAAAGGCAAGTGTGCAGGTAAGATCACTCATTTATATCAACTCTGAAAACACCAGACAACTACAATGTAAAATACACTTAAGTTTCAACATCAGTTTTCATTTCATTTGTGGAGTCATAAATTAATTACTTAAGCAATTAAAAAACCAAAAACAAAACAAAAAACTGAGTACTATATACCAAACAGTATTTTCAGTGTTGATGATACATATTTTTTTTTTAAAGTGGAAGCAAAGGGAGACAAAAACATAAACACCTGTGCCAGGTAGTGATAATACTATTAAAAATAATGCAAAAATGGGCCAGGGATTTAGCTCAGTGGTCCCCGCGCCTGCTTCGCAAGCAGAAGGACCCAAGTTCGATCCCTGGTACCAAAAAATTAAAAATAAAAATAATGAAAAAATAATGCAAAAATAAATGGATAGTGACAAGTATGAACTTTGGTGATGTTGTGGGGCGGTACCAGGAATTGAACCAAGATGTGCTCTATTACTATTATTATTCCTTAGCCCTTAATACTTTTTAAGTTGCCAAGGCTGGCCTTCAACTTCCAATCTTCCTGCCTCAGCCTCCTGAATAACTAGGACCATAGGCATGCACCACCACACTGCCAAGAATATACTATGTTAGATAAGATGGCCAGTTCAATAGGGAAAGTGTGAATTCCTCCAGTTCATCTTTTGCAAATATCAATCACCACAACCCACACTCTTCCAAATTCTCCTATCCTTCTGCTCCTTTACTGTTTCACCCACATGTCTATCTCCAGAAAACATAGAGACCTCTCAATCCTGCTGACCCTTCAAAATTATGCAAACTAATAAATGTTTAGTACTTGTAAGCTACTGTTTCATAGCAGCCTATTATGCAGCAAAAGTGAAATGATACAAATTTTATTATTACAACTTTCTTAAGGTAAAATTATGCTGTTTATCACAAGTAGTAGCTGATACTTGCTGTGGTGTATTGTTTTCACAAGTGTCTTAGAGTACATCTTATGAAACTTTATTTATGGAATCAGGTATAGCCTGAGTTGATGTAGAAGATAACCCAGACCATCCCTGAACCACTTTTAATGCCATTTCTTTTTTTTTTTTTAAATATCCCAGCAAAGCAATTTATTTATTTATTTAGGTACCGAGGATTGAGCTCAGGACCCTGAGCTTGCGAGGCAGGTGACAGCACCACTGAGCTAAATCCCCGGCCCCTTTATACCATTTCTTGACTTGGGGTTTCCTGGATTAACCAAACTACAATTTAGCTGAATTTAGATCTACTGCTACAAATACAGATGGCATTTTTTTAAGCAAGAGCCGAAGCCAAGAGGGGCATGTTTTCTGACGATTTATTTTCTCCCACTAGGTGGATACTTTATTTTAGGCCCTTTCACTGGCTAGACAGCCTTTGAAAGTTCCAGTGTGTTGAAGGGGTTCTCAGTTCCACAGTCTGCTGCCAGGGGCCCAAGACCACACCACTTCTCCTACCTGGGAATTAAAATCTAAACACCCTGGTTATCAAGATTAGCAATTACTCCCCATTCACCTGCAACTCACAGCAAAAGAAGCATCCTCTTCATTCTCTGTATAAAAATACTGTGTAATCTAATCTTTTTTATTCTCCATTTCTAGGTGTTTGACAGTGGGAGCTTTTAATCTCATACTTACCAATATTGCATTTTCAAGTCCCTGAAGGTGAATTTAATTAGGCAATTAGAATTACAAAGTCTACTAAAACACTAGGTGGGTATGGTGGTGCACACCATCATAATCCCATCTCTTGGGAGGCTGAGGCAGGAGGATCACTGTGAGTTTGAGGCCAGCCTGAGCTACATATCAAGATTTTGTCTCAAAAAACCAAACAAAAACTAAATACCCCTAAAAACACAGAATAAAATTTCTGAGTTTTATGAGAATTTGGAAAATAATTTATTTTTTCTCTGAATTCATTACAGAGCATGCAATGATTAGCTTAAGAACAGTCTTGGGCAATCAATCCTTACTTTATCCAGGTCATAAGTTCCACTGTATCTGGGTCATAGAATTCTTGTAGTTCTGTTAACTCTGTCATTAATCTGGGGAAAAACTAAAATACAAAACAAAATCCCAAAAAAGTATTGTGAGTAACTAGAAAGTTTAGTTGTCTTAGAGAATTTTTTTTTGGGGGGGTAGGGGGATCGAACTCAGGTCCTTGCGCTTGCGAGGCAGGCAGTGGCACCACTGAGCTAAATCCCCAGCCCTCAGAATTTTAAAAGACTGAAAGACTAACTAAAAGCGAATGCTACCACAACACTATTTACATTGACAAAAATGTCATAGACCTCTACTTTCTTACATGACCTGCTTATTTTTCTCAGGCCAAATAAACTAACTTGGTTAATTCACTGCCTAGGACCAATAAATAATTTTTAACATTCCCAGTTGTGTCTTTTGTGCATATACATATTAAATAAGTAAATACATTTCAGGTCAAATAATTTGCAGGTTTACTGACATTTAGCCTCATGTTACACAAGTAAGCCAAAGCCAGGTGTGGTGGTATACGTATGCAGAGGCTGAGATAAGAGGATCACCAGGAGTTCAAGGGCATCCTGGGATACATAGTGAGTTAGGCCAGCCTGAACTAAAAAGTGAGACCTTGTTCAAAAAACCAAAAAAATTTAAATTTAAAAAATTTATATAATTTTACAGATATTAAAATTTTAGAGTTATCACAATGTTTTTAAATATTAAGGCTTATTCAGTAATTTCCTTTGCCAATTATAAATTGAATTAACAATGGCAGTAGACTGTAGAAAGCTCCATCAGGTAGCATTCTAAAAATGTTTTTAGAAAATGGCTCTTCTATTATATTCCTAATGATAAAGAAGAAAAAAATAGCAATGCCAAGTATATCACACTTTGTTAGAATAGAATTATGACACGTTTCCTACTCACATATAAGTATATCACTACTACCTTGTAGATAAAGTACATATAAAACCCGGTTTCCTTACCTCTTTCCATAAACTGAGACCTATTATGGTGGGCACAGCCATGCTCAGAATAAGAGCCTAAAATGTTAAAGCAAAAAGGTTTATGAGTAAACATATTGTAGAGTACACTTTACAGGAACTAGCACTGACTCTATGACCAACTGAATATCCTTACAGCTGTAAAGTTTCAGTAGGAGCAAGTGCAGTCAGGCCAGGCATAGTGGCACATGCCTGCAATTCCAGCACTCAGGAGGTTGAGGCAGAAAGACCACTGCAAGTTTGAGGCCAGCCCTGGTTATATAGTGAGTTCAAAGCCAGGCTGCTCTACGAAGTGAGACTCTGTCTCAAAAAAAATAAATGAATAAATAAAATAAAGAATTCAATGAGTTTCAAATATATTAAACAGGACATAAAGGGAGATATACATATTTACTATATAAATTTAAGGCAGAACATTAAAAAAGTAGTGCTTACTGTAATATATCCAATAGTAAATCAACTGTACCTTGTGAGTTTTACACAGATGGGAGGAAGGGCCCGTGAACTTGTGTTTGCAAGACTTGGCCTGTGTGACTGCATCTAAGAAAAGCTTTATGGATGCAGGCAGCAGTGGTGGCCCAGAGGTTGGGCACAGCTTGGAGGCCCCTGTCCAGTCCTGTATGCCCACCACCCACCAGGAGCCCAGCTTCTCCCACCCCATGACATGTCAGGCCACACTGCCCAGGGGGGGAGCACTCGAAAGATGGCTGATACAAACGCTGTGTGCCTTGTGTCAACACAGTCTGATTGTTAAAGTACAAAGGAAAAAGAGGTAAAACATCTGATATTTAATTGATTAAATACGCAAATGAAAATATTTGGGATGTTTTGAGTTAAATATATTACAAATTTTTAAAAAACAGTAAATCAATATTTGCAAATTTGCCAGAGATTTATGTTATAAAGAACTTACAGGGAATTCTACCACTACCACAACAAAAAACAATGAAATAACACAGGAAAAGCAGCTAGTATTTATTAACATATTACTATGTTAAAATAAGAATATATAAATTCTTTAGAGAGTAAGACTAGTAAACACAACATGATTTTTTGTTTGTTTGTTATGTTTTTATTTTTTCCCTTTTTTGGTACTAGGGACTAAACTTGGGTCCTTGCGCTTGCAATGTAGGTGGCAGAACCACTGAGTTAAATCCCTGGCCCTTGTATGTTTTTTTTGAGTCAGGGTTTTGCTATGTAGTTCAGGCTGGTCCTGAACTCACTATGTAGCCCAGGTTGGCCTTGGAGTCACTACACTGTCCTGCCTCATCTTACCAAGTGCTGGGATTATTTATAGGCATGTGCCACCATACCCCGGCAATGTGATATTCCTCACTTTCCTGTCAAAACCTGTTTTTCCTATTGCCCCAAGTCTGTTGCAGACCTTGTGATCCACTGGTTCCTATCTCTCATTCCTCCATATTTAATCAAGCACTGAGTCTCATTAATCTTTTTTGAGCAAGGTCTTGCCATGTAGTTCAGGACTGGCTTTGTGTGCACTATGTAGCCCAGGCTGGCCTCAAACTTGCAGTGATCCTCCTGCCTCAGGCTGAGGACTATATATGTGTGCCAGCATGCCTGGCTCCAGCCTAATTTCTTTCTCTTTTCTTTGGTACCAGGGATCGAACTCAGGTCTTTGTGCATGTGCGGCAGGTGACAGAACCACTGAGCTAAATCCCTGGCCCCTAATTTCTTTCGAGACAGAGTCTGAGGTCCACAGTGAATTCACTGTGATCCTCCTGCCTCTACCTCCCAAGGGCTGGGAATGCAGGTATGTGCCTCAGTTTTTGTTTTGTTTTGAGGCAGGGTCATGCTTTGTAGTTTATGCTGGCCCGAACTATTGTACTACCATGCCCAGCTATTTCCTTTGATTACAACATGTTCTTTGCCTACATCTGTCTCTTCTACCGTTTTTTTCTTCTTCATTTGCCTTGTAACTCATCATCTTTCAAATTTTATATTAGAAAGCCAGGTGTTGTGGTGTGCAGCTGTAATCCCAGGCCTTTGGAGGCTAAGGCAGGAGGATTTCCATGAATCTGAGGACAGCCTGTGGTACACAGTTCAAGGCCAACCTGAACTACACAATGAGACTTGTGTCAAAAACCAAATGAGAAAAAAAAACAAAAACAAAAAAAAAAACACAAAAAATAAATTTCACCTTGGAAAATCTTCCTTGAATTCTTAAGAATAATCATTCAAGCAGTCCTTCTCTCTGTTCTAGCATTTTTTTTAGTGCTGGAGAGCATTTTTTGTTTTTTTTTTTTTTTTGGTACCAGGGATCAAAGTTGAGACCTTGTGCTTTCGAGGCAGGTAGTGGAACTACTGAGCCACATCCCCAGCCCTGCTGGAGAGCATTCTACCACTGAATTACATCCCTAGTCCTGAATTCTTCTTACTATATTATTTATGCCCAAGAGATTACAATATACATGAGAAAAGTACTTATGATTTTGTCTTTTTGGCGATGCTGGGGATAGAACACAGGGCTTCACGCTAATCAAGTTTTATTTATCTTTATTCTAAGTACATAGTTGCCAGTATAAATGTTTCACTCATGTGGAAACACAGAACAGTTTTAAATCAAATCATAAAAGATAATATAAAAATTAAAGTCAGGAGAGCTGATGCATGCTTGTAGTCCCAACTTCTAGGGAGGCTCAGGCAAAGAAGATCATTTGAGCCTAGGAGTTTGGAGCCAGCATAGGTAACACAGCAAGACACTGTTGTCTTTTTAAAAATAGATAAAATAGCCAGGCATGGTGGCACACACCTGTAATCCCAGCACTCGGGAGGCTGAGACAGGAGGATCGCTGTGAGTTCCAGACCAGCCTGGGCTACATAGCGAGTTCCAGGTCAGTCTCAACCACATAGTGAGACCCTGTCTCAAAAAAACAACAAAAACAAAACAAAACAAAAAAATAGATAAAATGGCCAAGTGTGGTGGTGCATGTCCATAATCCCAGCACTTGGGAGGTTGAAGCAAGAGGATCACTGTGGGATTGAGGCCACCTGAAGTTGACAGAGAGACCCTGTCTCAAACCAACCAAAAAAAAAAAATTAAATTAAATTTTTAAAAAACCACAATATTAGCCGGGCATGGTAGTGCACCCCTGTAATCCAGCACTCGGGAGGCTGAGGCAGGAGGATCGCTGTGATTTTGAGACCAGCCTGAGCTACATAGTGAGTTCCAGGTCAGTCTCAACTACATAGTGAGACCCTGTCTCAAAAAAACAAAAAACAAAACAAACAAACAAACAAAACCCCACAGTATTACCTGTAAACTGTTTAAAGAAATAAATTTAATCCCTTACCTCTTTAAAAAATGCAGTTAAGAAAGAGATTTTTTTTTTTTTTTTTTTTGGTTTTTTGAGACAGAGTCTCACTATGAAAAAAGAAATTCTAATGGCCTCTCCTAACAAATACTGGTTCACTTGAAGTTTTATCTTTTAATTTTTCAGTTGCATAGACCAAAATGCATAAAAAAGTTCCTTATGCTATTGTTCTATCTGTAAGTCATTATGTGATTTAATCACGCTGTTTTAATTGTATTCAATGTAGTTTTCATTATTAGCATTTCATTTTTACATAAATGGAAGAGAATCAAGTATTTAACACAAAATAACCATGGCTCACCAACAATATTGGGTGCACAGTTCTTAATCGAAGCCACTTGAAAAGTGTCATCCAAAGTTCAGGAGAACACACACCAAATGCTGCCAACATGCACACGTAAGGAGTCCAAATGTATTTCAAGCTAGAAACAAACAAGAGTCACCTATAAGATACCCTATGACCATCATTATCTGATTTTTTAAAAAGTTTTTCCTATTGCCTTCGAAAATAAATATTTGAGGATGAAAACACTTAGCTTCTTTTTTAAAAAATATTATTATTTTTTTAGCTTCTTAATTCAGCAATAGGCTGTTATTCAGTTCTTAGATAATAAGCCATGTGGGTTACCAAATAAAAGCCTTCCTATTGATGAGGGTGTAGCAAAACTGTACTCCTGGAGAGAATATAAATCATCCAGCTTTTTCAGAAAGCAATTAGGCAAAAATGAGAAATTAGCTGGGTGTGGTGGCACACGACTGTGATCCCAGCACTCAGGAGGCAGAGGCAGGAGGATCGCTGTGAGTTCGAGACCAGCCTGGGCTACATAGTGAGTTTCAGGTCAGGCTCAACTACATAGTAAGACCCTGGCTAAAAAAACAACAACAAAAAGAGAGAAATTAGAGATATTTATAGCTAAATGGATGCATGTTGAAGTGATACTCTTAAGTGAAATTATAAATACTGAATAGTTTCTCTAGTGTGAGAAACTGAAAGTGTAAATAGGACTAAAAGGTATAATAGATAATGTGAAATAGGAAGAAAGGGACAAAGAGGAAGGGGAAAATCGAAGGGGTGGGGGAAGGATAAAAGGGAATGGAATGAATATGAGAAAATGAAAAATAATGGAAACAAAGTCTTTCAGATAGGGATGAAGAGGTTGAAGGGAGGGCAGGGGAATGGGGAAAAAATAAGAACCAAGATGGATTGTGTAAAGGTACAAATTTCCAACAATGAATGTCATTATATTGTACACCTAAAATGTACCAATAAAACTAATTAAAATATAAAAGAAAACAATTAGGCAAAATCTATAAAATTTTAAAATAGGGCTGGGATGTAGCTCAGTGGCACCACACCTCCCTGGCAAGCTCAAGGTCCTGAGTTTGAACCTTGGTACCAAAAAAAAGGAAAGAAAGAAAAAACAAACAAAAGAATACACATCTTTAGGAGATGGTAAAAGGTGAAAGTGGAAGTGGAAGAAGTGAGGGTAACTTTGTAACTAACACAAAAGAGAACACCAGATACTTCCATGATATTATCTGCGGGGTCAAACTCATATGAGACTACAGGAATGTGAGGTCAGAGTATAAATGTGAACTATTAGGTTTTATAAAACAGCACAGTATAAAAAGAGAAAATAAAGAAATATGTATTCACATATTAAGCAGTGACTGACTATGCATGGACCAAAGTACAGTACTAGAGAGGAAAGAAGAAAAATAAGATACCGCACTCCAGCAGATCTTTAGAAAACCAACATGGGAAAAGCACTTAGAAAACAGCTTACGAAAATCTGTATGCGTCTAGGGTTACATAAAAGGGAAATAAATAATTTGAGAAGAGTGGAGTTAATGACCATTTTTAAAAAGTGAATCTGGCTGGGCGTGGTGGTGCACGTCTGTAATCCCAGCACTCGGGAAGCTGAGGCAGGAGGATCGCTGTGAGTTCAAGACCAGCTTGGGCTACATAGTGAGTTCCAGGTCAGTCTCAACTACATAGTGAGACCCTGTCTCAAAAAACCAAAAAAGTGAATCCTTTCCTCTACCTGGCTCACAAGCACAAGGTCCCAAGTTCAATCCCCAGTTAAAAAAAAAAAAAAAGTGAATCCTCACTCAGCCCTGTTAAGAAATAGCAGATAGACACAGTCTTCCTGCCACTAAGACAGAGGAATCCCACTGAATTCCTCAGCTCACCCAATATTGTGTCTCTCTCAAACCTCGCTATTTCTGGAAATAACAACCTATTCTCCCAGTCAGCCCGGATCAATGTCAGGGCTGCTTTACTGCCCCAGGGGTCACCATTCACCCTCAATTGCACGTGTACAAGGTCCCTGGAAGTCACATCTCTCCCTGAAGGTTGATCCACTGATGCCAAGCCAGTCATTTCTCTGTATCCTTTCCTTCCATAGCATTTTAGCACAACAGGAGTATTTCCATCTTTAGACTCTTTTCTAATCCAATCACAAGCTGATGAATCTTTGTCAAACATCTCTGTAGGATACTTTCTATAAAAACATCATTAGAATAGCCAAGAGCCAAAAATGAGAACCAAGACTTGTCATGTAAAGGTACAAGATCCCAATGATGAATGTAACTGTACTCTATACCTAAAATGCACCAATAAACTCAATGAGAAAAAAAAAATCTATGCCATTAAAAAAAAAGAGAGAGAGAGAGCACAGCCCAAGCCAAGAGCAGTGGCGCATGCCTACCTGAGAAGCAGACACAGGAAGGCCAGATTTGAGGGAGGCCTTAGCAACATACAGTAGTGAGACCCACTTCTTTAAAACAAAACAAAACAAAACAAAATATTACAAACTCTACAAACTTCTAAAGATGGTAACATTTTCCTCTTTCATTTGAAAAAAGAAGTTTTAACACATTCATGATGGGGCTGTAACTCATGTCTTGCTGCTGGGCAGTTTGAACTACGAGTGGTACCTGGATGACTGCCCCACTGGGTGGCTTTTTATTAATTTTATTAATAAAAAATTTTTAAAAACAGTAGAAGTGATTAGATCTGTTTGTACCACTAAGAGTACAAAGCCACCCAATGGGACAGTCATGCATTTACCTCTAGTGGCTCAAGCTGGCAGGAATGGGTTAAAACAGCTGCCCTCTTTCCTGAATATTCTTCCCAGCCAGAGATCTGTTCGTCTCCAAGAAGCCGGAATCAAAAAAGCTATTTGGAAGAGAGGTTAATTTCCAAATACTCATCCTCTGTTTTTACATCAGTCTGTTACCAGGACTGGCATGGAAGTAGGTCTGAGGCTCAGTGAGGTGCACGGTAGTAACGGAAGCATGTGGTGCTGTTCAGCCCCTCAAACCCTGGCTATGCCACCTGGGTGGGGAGGCAGTAATTAGGCACTTTGGCCACTTGATGATATATTTCTTCTTGCCTGAGACTGTGAAAAACATCAAAACATGTAAAGAAACATTGTTTGGATAAAGTTTTATCTTGAAATACAATTTGGGAGTCTTCCAGTTCGGTTCTTTATAAAAGACAGAAGACATATTCATTAAATGCAATTTGAGAACAAGAACAGATGAAGCTTGAGGTGGAGATCAGTAGTAGAGGGCATGCCCAATACCCATGAGGTCCCGAGGCAGATCCCCTGCACCACATACACACACACACAGACACACGGGGGCTGGGACCATCTACACTGTAACTAACTTTCACTAGTATGTAAAGAGCCTCATATATAACCCTTCACTGTATTTATTTCCATGTATCTTACTTATTGTGTACTAAATCACTGACCTGGCCCAAAGAGAAATCTGGTCCTCTGCCCTGCACTTCAGAGACATAATCTCTCACCTGAAAAAGACTTCCTTTGTTGTTGTTGTTGTTGTTTTTCACTGAGTTTATTGGTACTTTTTAAGTATACAGTACAGTTACATTTATCATTGGGATCTTGTACCTTTAAATGACAGATAAGACCATCTTTGTTTATGGCAGGGATGTAGCTCAGTGGCAAAGTGCTTGCCTGCTGGGTTGAATTCCTAGCAATCTCCCCCACAAAAAAGAGCATCTTTGCTTCACTGGGACAGCTGGGCCATGACCAAGAGTTATGCTAACAATACAGTTTATGGTGAGGGCCTCAGGCCACACAGATCCAAGGCAACATGTGGAGCCAGTGGAGGCTTACTTAGGTCCATCACACAGTGGTTTATATGTAGATATCTCCCAAGAGCCTCATGCATGTATAGGTGGGGCTTACAGAAGATTGGCCCATGGAGGGGCACTATAGCTGAATGTGCTGTTAGGAAGTGGTATCAGGTAGGAAGGAGTGGGTTGCTGGGCGTGACCTGGAACGTTTACCCTTCTCTTCTTCCTAACCACCATGACATGATAGGCTATCCTCCACCCAGACCCTTCCACCATACCAGCATTTAACGTGCAAGGACTAAACTTCTGAAACATGAGCCAAAACAAATCATTTCTTAAGCTATGGGTGCTGGGTATTTTGGCCCAGTATTTCAATAAAAACTGAACACAAGGCACAGATGAGCTTCCCTGATGGATAATACTGTGTATAGTGCCATGCACTGTTCCTGTGAGAAACAGGCACAGTCTGCCTGAATCCATGGGATAGGTTAGCATGTGTCAGTGTCTCCTGGACTGTCTCCTATGTGCCTCTTCCTTCTGCTGATTGTAACTGTAATGAACTGCAACCATGAATAGAATGACTTTCCTCAGTTCTGGGAGTCCTAGTGAGTCATGAAACCTGGAAGGTTTTGGGAAGCCCCAAACTTGCACGTGGCATCAGAAGGAAGAGTGGTCTTGAGGACTCCTGAATGTTACCCCCTCGTAGACTGGGGGGTTCTGAAGAAGAATCCCAGCATATAATAATTGTATCTACCATCACTCACAAGAGTGAATTATACAAAAACACTAAAAGCTTCTGCTTTTGGGGGGCCGGGGATTTGGCTCAGTGGTTCTGCCGCCTGCCTCAAAGCCCAAGGTCACCAAATTAGACCCCTCCAGTACTAAAAACAGTTAAAAAAAAAAAAAAAGCTTCTGCTTTTTCATAAAGTTCTGCATTTTTATAAAGTTTAATAGGTTGGCATGATTTTGCATAGAAGCAGAAATGAGGGAAGTGTGAAAACCAAAGACTTAAATATTATAAGCAAGGAGCAGGGTGGTACACACCTATAACCCCTGCTCTTAGGAGGCCAAGGAGTGAGGATTGCAAACTTGAGCACTGCTGGGCAACACAGTGAGACCCTGTCTCAAAATTTTAAAAAAAGGGATGGGGAAGTAGCTCAACCCCCAGTACAGCAAAAATAGATAAGAAGTGCAAGATATGTTACAAGAAATCAAACTCTTTAGACAGCTCTGATAATACTATCTGAATATTAATACAGTCATATGCTGCAAAATGATGCTTTCATCAATGATGGACAGCATATGTGACAGAAGTCCCATAAGGCTACACTGCCTGGTGAGGGCGTGGCAGTCTTAGTTTGGGTAAGCATGAATTTTGCACAGCAACCAACAATACATTTCTTAGAAAGTATTCAGACATTATGTGACACGTGACTACGCTGATACCAATTTACCTTAACAAGAGCCAGGGATTTAGCTCAGTGGTTCCACCGCCTACCTCACAAGTGCAAGGACCCGAGTTTGATCCCTGGTACCAAACAAACAATTTGCCTTAACTGGGCCGGCGATTTAGCTCAGAGGTTCTGACACCTGCCTCACAAGCACAAGGACCTGAGTTCAATCCCCAGTGCCAAAAAGAAACCCCCCCCCCAAAAAAAACCAATTTGCCTTAACAAATTTAAGAAGATACACAAAACATTAAAATTATAAGGTAAGATGTAAACATGTACCTTACTGAACATTAAATGGGACCTCACCTGTACATTATTAAGGTTTAATTTCACCATTTAAAAGCAATAAAAGAAGAGCCAGGGATGTAGCTCAGCAGAGCAGCGCCTTCCTGGTGAACGTGAGGCCCTGAGTTAGATTCCCGGTACAGGCCAGGGATTTAGCTCAACAGTTCTACCGCCTGCCTTGTAAGCACAAGGACCCAAGTTCTATCCCTGGTACCAAAAATAAAAAATAAATAGATTCCCAGTACCAAAAAAAAAGTAAAAACAATAAAAGAAATGAGGCAAGGGAAAGGGTGAGGGGACAAAGAGATCCATCCTCAACAAGGCTGACTGCACTCACTGTGCTTTCCCACAGTGAACTCGATGTCGTCCCAAAAATGCACCATGCTCCTCCCTACTGCAATGTTTGGCACGTGCTGTTCCTTCTGCCTGAAAACTCTCTCTCTCTGGCTCACCAACTTCACTTCTACTCATCCTTCAGGTCTCAACTCAAGCATCTTTTCCACAGAGAACCCTTCTATCTCTAAAGTCAACTTCCGATTTCAAATATTCTCACAGCACCTTTTACCTCTCCTTCAAGTATCGAGCTATAATTCTGTGTGATTAACATCTGCCACCTCCAGAGGCTGGGGATTTAGCCCAGTGGTTCCGCTGCCTGCCTCACAGGCGCAAGGACCCGAGTTCAATCCCCGGTACCAAAAAAACAAAACAAAACATCTGCCACCTCCATAAGTTTACATGAGGTTAGAGACTATGTGTCCATTTTTGCTTACTGCTGTACCTCCAGCACCTTGCATGGGTCTTGGAAGACATTCAACAGCTTCTCAACAAATGAATAAAAATAGCATGTCAGTTCACTGTGCTATAAAGACCTTTGTAAACCCATTACAGTGAGAGTTTAAGATTTAAGTTTTTATAAAGTTTTACAAATATATTTTTGAATTTGCCCATTTATTAACCATTAGAAAGGACCATCATTATAAAAACAAAGGGATCAGGGGCAGGGATGTAGCTCAGTGGTGCCACACCTGCCTGGCAAGCATAAGGTCCTGAGTTCGAGTCCCTGTACCAAAACAAGAAAAAAAAAAGAGAGAGATCAAATAAAGTACACTTACCCTTCTAAAACCATTGCAAGAGAACCCAATAAAACAGTGTGAATTATATGATAAATTATTTCTGGCCTTTCTCCAATTCGCCCATCTTCTAGAGTAACAGCTTCTTTCAAGGACTTACCACTACAGAGAAGAAATATATGTTTTAATATCTTGAAAATATATACAGGCTTAAGGGGGGGAATGGGATAAAATAAAATTAAAATTAAAAGAAAATATATATGCACACAGTACTTGACAAACCAAAGATACATTGTTTATCATCTTTCAAGGGCATACTTTAAAATGTATTTTCTTCATAACAAAAATATAAGTAGTCTGGGCCAAGGATTTAGCTCAGTGGTTTCACCACCTGCCTCCCATGCATAATGACCCGAGTTCAGCCCCTGGTCAAAAAAAAAAAAAAAAGTCCTTAAAATTTGAAAGTATATTCTGCTAGTTAAATATCCAGCATATATCTGGCTTTATTAATCTGTTTTATGGCCTACAGACAACTAACGAGTGGAAACTATGAATTTTCAGAATAACAAAAAGGTTTTTAGGTGATTGTTCTGAGATTATTTATGACTCAATTAATGACTGCTATCTCAACACAGTTAAATCACAGTATAAATAAAATATCAAAATTAAGAAATTACACAAAACCTCCTTTCAAACATGACAGACAGGCCTGGTGGCACATGCCTATAATCCCAGCACTTGGGAGGCTGAGGCAGGAGGATCTTTGAGAGTTCAAGGCCAGCCTGATCTACATAGTGAGACTCTGACTCAAGAAAATAAACAAACATAAAAAAACTACACTATAGTCAAACTTTATAATTTAGCTCAGTGGTTCTGCTGCCTGCCTCAAAAGCCCAAGGTTCCGAGTTCCATCTCCGATACCAAAAAAGAAAGACTTTTGCTTCCCAGCACTTGGGAGGGTGAGGCAAGAGGATCATCAAGAGTTCGAGGCCAGCCTGGGCTACATAGTGAGTTCCAGGCTAGCCTGAACCACATAGTAAGACCCTGTCTCAAACAACTAAAAATAAATATGTAAATAAAATCACTTGTACTACTTGCTTCATTTTAATGGATGAAATTCTTCTATATTAAGAAAAAATTTGAGCAAATTAGTAAATTAATCTGTAAAAGTTTAACCTATTATTTAAATGTCATGCCTACATTAAATATGGACAATACACACTTAGACATATAAAACTAATCATGAATTTTCCTGGTCCACTTGCACTGATCAGTGAAGAGAGAATAGAATTAGATGCCTAGAACAAATACAAAAATATTGGAAGAGGAGCCAGGGATTTAGTTCAATGAACTGCACCTGCCTCACTAGTGCAGGTCCTGAGTTAAATCCGTGTTATGGGGGGAAAAAAAAAGATTGGAAGGAAGCTGGGAAGCTCACAGCTGCAGGCCCAGACACTTGGGAGGCCGAGGCTGGATGGTCACTTGGGCCCAAGTTTGTAGTCAGCTTCAGCAAAAAAATAAAACTTCATCTTTATTTATTTATTTATTTTGGGGGGTACCAGGGATTGAACTCAGGATCTTGTGCTTGCAAGGTAGGCAGTGGAACCACTGAGCTAAATCCCCAGCCCTAAAACTTCACTTTTAAATAAATTTTTAAAAAATGGAGCTGGGGGCCATGGATATAGCTCTATGGTGCTGCCACCTACCTCAGAAGTGCAAAGACCTAAATTCAAGCCCCAGTACCAAAAAAAAAAAAAAAACAAAAAAAACAAAAAAAACGGAGCTGGGGTATAACTCAGTGGTAGATTATGTATTTAGCATGCACAAGGCCCTAGGTTTGATGCTCAGCACAAGAAAATATATATTATATATATATATGATATATATTATAGAAATAGCATATATAATATATAGCATGTACATGTATATACATACAAAAATATATATAAAGCATATTAAATACTTTCATATTTAGTAGTGTGATTCTCATATGTACTTACTTAATCCTCCTAAAAATAACTTGCATCATAGAAAGAAGACAAATAATTACCACTAGAATATAGAATGGTAATAAAGAAGACTGTGTCAATCGCAAAAAAAAATCCTGAGATGGTGTCTGGAGGGACTCCTGACACAGGAACCAATTCATCGTGAAATTCCTATGGAAGATAAAAGTGTGATATTAAAATCACAGGTTTTACAACACTGACAAAGGTATTTTTTTTAAGTCTCAGTAAAACACATTTTCTACATTCATTCATTTATAGCAGCATGGTCTTATCCTTTATAAACAAAGATAACAGTACTAGTAATCCTCTTCAAAAACATGTCATCATGATTGCTTTATTAAATGTAAAAGTGCTGCTTTTTATTACCAAGTAATGTGACCATCTTTAAAGCCCAACTGAGTATTTAGAATGTTATGATTTCTATTTCTACCTAGAAGATAGTAAAAACTCAGATGGCCAACCTCTGTGTCTGTGCTGCCCAATATAGAAGTTACCTGCTGTCGAACACTTTAATTCAAATCGAGAGGTATTTTAAGTACATAATACACGCAGGAGTTCAAAGAAAAAGAACAAAACAAAGGACCAGAAAAAAAACTGCAGTTGTATTAAAGAGACTGACAGAGCCAGGGATTTAGCTCAGTGGCACCATGCCTGCTTTGCAAGTAAGCACAAGGTCCTGAGTTCGATCCCCAGTGTGGGGGGCGGGCTGCCAACAAAATATCTTGTGACTGCAGTTAAGTGCACATATTTTTAAAAATCTGTCCATTACAAGTTATTAACTATAAGATCTCATTTCAATCAAAATTTAATGAGTATTTTTCTCATTTCCCTTAGCATCAAACTTTCCTTCCCATATTCTTCATGGTTTTTTCTTTTCTTTTTTTTTTTCTTTTGAGACAGGAGCTCACTTTGTAGTTCAGGCTGGCCTTGAACTCACTATGTAGCCCAGGCTATCCACCTAACTTGCAGCAATCCTCCTTCCTCTGCCTCGTGTGTGCTGGTATCACAGGTGCACATCACCACACGTGGTACTTTTCTGTGAGTCAGGATTTTTTGCTTTTTGGTACCAGGAATTGAACTCAGGACCTCATGCTTACCAGGCAGGCGCTGTGCCTCTGAGCTACATCCTTGGCCCAAGACAGGGTTTTGATATATAGTTCAGGCTGGCCTTGAGTGCACTTTGTAGCCCAGAGGGCCTTGAACTCCTGCCCAGCAATCCTCTGCCTCAGTCTCCTAAATGCTGAGATTATAAGCTCTTCCTATATTCTTGTGGTATTTTTACTTGTCCTCTGTTGCACTGCACTACATGAGCCCACCTTGTGTTATTATTTCCCGTATGAATCATCTAGTACTGTAAACATTCAATAAATATTTATTGGGCTGGGTGTGATGGTGCACACCTATTGTCCCAGCACTGGGGAGGCTGAGGCAGGAGGATCACTGCAAATTTCAGGTCAGTCTGGGATACAGGTGAGTTCAAGACCAGCCTGAACTACATAGGGAGGCCCTGACTCAATAAATAAATACTTACTTATTAAATATTAAATATTAAATATTATAAATTTACTATAAATACTAATTTAATAATTAATATAAATATTTGATTATTATTAAATTATAATATTTAATTAATATAAATATTAATTATAAATTTAATGTACATATTAAATATTTATTTATTAACATTTCTTTGGTAGAAAATCTGTCTCAACAGAGATGTTTTCTGGGGTCGGCGATTTAGCTTAGTAGTTCTGCTGCCTTCCTCGCAAGCACAAGGACCTGAGTTTGATCCCCGGTACCAAAAAAAAAAATGTTTTCTGAAATTCATTTAAGCATAAGGCGTTCACTATTTATACTACCCATGTTGTTAAATGTATAAAACGAATGAGAAGCAATGAACTGGGACTATGTCTTATTCTTAAATACCTGGTGGTCGACCTTGTGGAGCAAATCTACTGCAAGACCTGCTAAACACAGAGGTGTAAAGATCAACTAATAAACACTGGCCCTGAGCAGCCTTTAACCTGATTCTAGGTTAAGCCCAGGGCTAAGGAAGAGTTGGTGAGAAGACCAGGCTCTCACCGAGGTCTGCACCCTCCCTACCGATGGCCTTCGCCTTCTGGAGCAACTGGAGAAGACACTGTCCCCTCACAGAACACAAGGCTCGTGTCCCCACCACACGCTGGAAAAAGAAACCCAGTGCAAGTTCTCTTAAACAATTCCTGTCTCAAATTCATATTCTCTCATTCTCTCTCTCCTCTCTCTCTATTTTTTGGTACTGGGGATCGCACTCAGGACCTTGCACTTGCAAGACAGGCAGCGGCACCACTGAGCTAAATCCCCCACCCACAAATACTTTATTTATTAACTGTGAAATATCACAATATGAAATTCTCTTCACTGTATTTACCATCCTATATAATCACAGCAAATGAGAAAAAGGTTCTAAGGTGTAATTCTAACAGGAGAAATATGTAGGTAACTATCCAGTTATACTAGACAACTCTTAGTACAGAAAATCATTTATGGGGTTAAGGATGCAGCTCAGCGGTAGAGCACTTGCCTAGCATAAAACCATTTATTTCATTCTAGATTTTAAAAAGCAAAATAAAAACTAACTTAATGACAACAAAAATATAAGCACATTCTTTAAAACAATAAAAAAAACTCAGAACAGTTTGTGGTCCAAGATGAGATTCCTAGCTATGAAGTAAATACCTTACTGCCTACCCTCTCCCCTTTTTTATGTAAGCATATGACTGATGTGGCGGTTAAAGTTATCTTGGCTCTTTTTTTTTTTATTCCTGCCATGCAGGAGATCAAACCGAGAGCGTCACATATACTAGTCAAGCCTCTATCACTGAGATATATCCCAGTCATTTTACGTCATTTTTTTTCGATTTATTATTATTTAATTGGGTTTTGGGGGGCTTTTTTGGTACTGGGGATTGAATTCAGGACCTTGTACTAGCAAGGCAGGTATGGTGCCGCTGAGCTAAATCCCTGGCCCTTTATTTTGGTTTTGTGTGAAAGGATCTTGCTATGCAATCCAGATTGGCCTTGAACTCACTACATAGCCCAGGCTGGCCTCAAACTCACAGTGATCTTCCTGCCTCAGCCTCCTAAGTGCTGGAATTACAGGTGTGCACCAACACACCCAGCCTATGTCATTCTTTACCAAGGGAGAAAGTAGCACTAAAATACCAGAGTTCGTCTGATTTTTAGAAGATTTAGGAGAGCTACATTGTACTGATTGATTGTGGTGCTACGGATCAAAGGCAGAGCCTCAAGCATGCTACTCCATCAAGTGAACTATATTCCTAGCCCAAGAAAAAAGGGTAACGCCATATTTCTTCTATACGTTATAATTTCCCAAGTTAGGTTTTTTTTTGGGGGGGGTTGGTACCAGGGGATCAAACTCTGGACCTTGTGCTTGCAAGGCAGGTGCCAGAACCACTGAGCTAAATCCCCGGCCCCCAAATTATTTATTTTCTTTTTTTTTTTTCCTGGTACCGGGGATCAAACTCAAGACCTGGAGCTTGTGAGACATGTGGCAGCACCAATGAGCTAAAAACCCAGCCCCCGAGTTAGTAATTTTCTAAGTTATATGTAATTAGGTGTGTACTTTCTCCATTTAGTATTTTTGGTCTTTATTTTCTAAGTGGTATAGATTTAGGTAAATTTATACAATCTAAAACTTACTTAGTCATATTTAGCCCAAATTTTACTTCAAGGAATTTGAGTATGTGCTCATTTTCTTTGTGTGGAACAAACATCTAGAAGAGAAAAACACTAGTTAAACCAAGAAATACTAGCTATGCTTACAGCAATGTACTTCTTTCCCAATTACTAGAAATAGAAAATACAAGACTACAAAAATATGAATTAAGTAATATTGTACATAGTGTAACTATGAAGCAAGGAGATTTATTGGTAGTAATCAATCACATTACCTTATGCTTAAGTATGAAGCTATAATGGAAGAAGATCAGGGATTTAGCTCAGTGGTGCTGCCATCTGCCTCGCAAGGCCAAGGTTCTGAGTTCGAACCCCAGTAGGAAGAAAGAAAGGAAGGGAGGGAGGGAGGGACAAAGAAAGAGAGAAACTCTAATGGGACAGTAAGAATACTTTGATCTTACCTGGTTCAAGTTAATTATCCACTCTTATTACTTACCTGCCTTTTGTCTCAGTTTATCTCACATACTGCTTAATTAGATGATAACATATTAAACATAAAGTATATTTCTTTTTTTCTCAAGCGCAGAGAGAAAAGAATCAGATTTCTGTTTCCTCATCCAATATTCTACTTTGACGGTCATCGTCCAGTTGGCATTATTCATTCTTCTCATTGAAATGTGATCTAATATATTAGACTAATTCATTTGATTTGCTCTACTACATGAATCTCAGTTACTTACCTTTATTATAATATTCAGTGTCACTGGCAGAGTACACACCAGGTAAAAATTAATCACTTTCATTATTTTAGCTACAAAAGTTCCTTTCTTCCCATTCAGCTGTGGGAGAAAAATCATACGAACAAAGAAGTGAGATACAAAATATTGACAATTAAAAACTAACAATAATAATAAAAAAGCAATGATAATTACCTGAAGGCACTTAGTAAGCATTAAGGCTGCCACTAAACTTAATAAAGGAGACACTAACAAAGCTGGATTCTCAAACTGCAGTAAATATCCCAGGAACAGAGAAAATATGTAGATTTTATACACCTCATGGACCTGTTAGGAAATAGAAAGTAAGAAAAAAATGAATTTTATTGCATATATTTTCATTAGTTTTGTTTGGGATAGCTCTGACTATAATATACTAAAGCCAGGAGTAGTGGCACATACCTGTAATCTGAGCCCTTAGGAGGCTGAAGCAGGAGGATTGTTGTGAGTTTCAGGCCAACCTAGGCTACACAGTGAGTTCAAGGCCAGCCTGAACTAGTAAGATTCCATCTAAATTTTTAAAAAAATCATACAATAAGGCAAATGCCCATAATCCCGGCACTCGGGAGGCTGAGGCAGGAGGATCGCTGAGAGTTTGAGAACAGCCTGGGCTACACAGTGAGTTCCAGGTCAGTCTCAACTGCATAGTGAGACCCTGTCTCAAAAAACAAAAAACAAAACAAAGCAAAAAAAAAAAAAAAATCATACAATAAACATTGTATTATAGTTTAGGATAGCATTATGGAATATTTAAGAGTTCCAGGAGTCTCAACTGCATAGTGAGACCCTGTCTCAAAAAACAAAAAACAAAACAAAGCAAAAAAAAAAAAAATCATACAATAAACATTGTATTATAGTTTAGGATAGCATTATGGAATATTTAATCTATATCTTTAATGTTATGGTTTGCAAAGAATGTATCACTTTCTTCTTAGAGCTCTCCAGAAACAAAGTAAAGAGCTTTCAAACATGAGTGTTGAAATCAGATGGAAGAATCCTCTCCCCCGACAACCTGTGTGGATCCTGGGGATTGAATACAAGGGTCCTCTATCCCTGAGCTACATCTCTAGGTCCCTTTAATTTTTTTTTTTAACTTAGAGACAAACAGGCTTCACTAAATTACCCAGGCATGACTTGCGCTCACCATCCTCTTACCATACCCTTCCAAGTGCTGAAGAACTGTTATCTTTTTTCTTTTTGTACTGGGGGTTAAACCTAAGGCCTTTGCACTGAGTTACATCCCCACCCCTTTTTAATTTTTTAAATTTAGAGACAGGGTCTCACTAAGTCACTAAGTTGCACAGGCTGGGCTCAAACTTAAGGTCCTCTTGCCTCCAGCTCCCAGAGCACTGGGACCACCAGCATGCACCCCACTTCCAGCAGGAAGAACCTCCTTTAATGCCATGCTCTGACTTAACTTGACTCGGTCTGCCCTGTTGCTGAAAGTCATCTATGTAACCTCAAATTACATAAATCAAAAATCACAATTTTACCAGCAATTCCCTGAACCTATCCAGTGAAAAATATATTACAATGAAACATATCACCAGAGAAGAGGGTTGGCTTTTGCTTTCCAATGAATTAACAGCAAGCAAAAGAAAGTTAAATTTAACACCCATTAGAAACCTCCTGGTAAGTTATATGTCTCAGTAGATTTTCTAAAATTGATATAATAATTTAATGTATTCTGAAATTAATTTTAGAAAGGGAAAACCAAAACAAAACGTAGCATCAGTTGGAGGAAAATCAGAGGGAAGAGTATTAAAATTGAAAACCAAAAGACAAAAAAAAGTCCCTGTCAGAGGCCAGAGCCACTTAAGATCCCTCACTCTTACATTAGGACAGAAGCTACCTTGGGGGTGCTGAGGAGGTGATGAGAGAGAGCACAGTGGAGACCTTGGGTGCCATCCTGCTCTGCTCCTGAGGCTGGCGCCCTGTGTGGGACCCATATGGAGAAACTTTATGAGCTCCAAAGCCACCCTTTACCTCCTGTTCTGTAATGCTGAGGCCGGAACCCTTGCTCTACACTTCTGCTTTGTGAGGTGGTTCCATGTTCAGTGTGGCTAATAGGAAATGCTCAGGGAGAGCTGGCCCGCGGAGCGAGGGAAGAGGAGCTTCCTCTTGCTTCCTGTTGGCAGGGCTCCTGTGAGCTTCATCTAAGTGATACTTCTTTACCCCAACAGCAGTTCCTTTCTGCTGAAGCTCTGGGCAGGTACAGTTTTTTCAACACTTGAAAAATCAACTTCATCACATGCTCCAGGCCAGAGACCCAGAAACCAACTGGCCAGCACTACAGCCTCAAAGGCCTGGCTCCCAGTTCCAGAGGGCTTTTCTAGAGCTCAGCTATACCAGCAAAGCTCAGCAGGAGCCCCTCCTTAGAAGTCTGAATTTCAGCTCCATGGGGGCCTGGCTCTAAGTTTCTACACAGTAATATTCTGTATTTTTCACTTTGTTCCATCAGTAATAGTGGTAGATGCTTCTTGCAGGTGCTACCTCTATGCTACTTTTAGGCCCTTAGTATCCTTTCAACTAATCATTTAATAAGTTAATGACTTTATATTTGGTTAATCACTGTTTTCTCTTTGGCTGGCAACTGAATCATATGCTTAGCATGTGCTCTACCACTGAGGTACAGCCCCAGCTTGGTTAACAAGTCTCCTATTAAATTCTCTCAGTTTAAATAACTTCAATATCAGTGCTGGGCATTAGGCTCAGTGGCATCACACCTACCTCACAAGTGCAAGGTTATGAGTTCAATCCCTGGTATAGGGAAAAAAAAAATGTGTAAGATCTGCTTGAAAAACTGGCCTTCAGAAGAATCCCACTGGGTAAGCAATTGTTGTTCATTTCAATAAAAACAACTATATTTTAAAGGTACAAATCCCCAATTATGAATATCATCATACTGTACACCTAAAATGTACCAGGAAACTTAATGAATAAAAAAAAAATAGGTAATCACCAGCTGAATATAAGAGATGAAGAAATAGACAGGAGGGGCCAGGGATTTAGCTCAGTGAAGCTGTGCCTGCCTGGCAAACACAAGGTCCTGAGTTCAATCTCTGCACCAAAAAGAAAAGAAAAGAAAAAAGAAATACAACACTAAGGTACAACACTGGAAAGACATTTATTCTCTGGATTTAAATATATCATTTCAAAACATTATAATACCTTGTCACCTTGCTCCACTGAAAAGACATCTAGCAGGAACAAAGATACTGCCTGAAGAAACAGCAGATAGTGGCTGTACTCCCACATCATCATAAAGGTGTAAGTTGAAGCACTCATCAGTAGGTAGCAAAACTTCTAGGGGAAATGAAAGAAACTAAGTATCAGTAGCTTTCTTACTCTTAATTTAAAACCCAAGAGGTTGTTACCTCCAAGTTGCAACTCTTGTTACTGGTTCAACTTTAGCTCAACTTTAATCTAGGTAACTCTTGCAACTGTTTTTTTTGGTTTTGCTTTTTTGGGTTTTTTTTTGGTGGTACTGGGGATCAATCTCAGGTGCTTGTGCTTGCAAGGCAAGCAGTGGAACCACTGAGCCAAATCCCCAGCCCATTGCAACTGTTTTTAAATCACATAATTCTTATAAATCCTTATAAAACAGTAAAATTTTAACTAAGGCACACAACCACTTCTTCAACATTATATTGAAAATTTCAGAAAGACAAAGGAAAAAAAGAAAAAAATTAATTTTAGTACATTTTTCATTTGTCCCAAAGGAGGAAAGGTGTATTTATAGAACAAAATGGTGGTTTTACTAGACTTGGCTAGTGAACTTTGTTAAGGCAGAATAACTTCTTTCACCCTATAAATAATACTGTATTTTTATTTCCATGGTGATTTATATTTTCCTAAAACCTACAATTTAAGAGTCTGTAAAAAGAAAAGTCTGTTGTCTCAAACTTATTCCTTAAACTCTTTAAGTCTTTGCTCTTAACAAAACTATGGCCTTACCTTACCTCAATACTTCTATTGTCAACCATATAAAATTCTTAGCTGTTTTCCCCTGCTAAATGCAATGGAGCCTCAGGTTATGACCAGCTTATACACAAACAACTTGCGTTAATCAGGTTAATTGAAGATTCATCTGTGTCTTGCTATCTATAGTGTATAACCAAGTAAACATCCAGATCTAAGCTCTACTGACTTACAACCAATTTGAGTTAAAAAAACAGCCCTTAGGAACCGATCAAGTAAATAAGTCAAGGGTCCACTGTACTAAAAATGAGGATTTCATTAACCTTGTGTGAAATATGCATGGCTAAAATCAATTCCACCTTCCAAATGACCCTTTAGTGAGTAACCACTGTCTTGTAGTATATTTCCAACCATAGTTACTCCTTCCTCTGTGGATCTACTTTTTATTTATTTTTTAGGTTTTTTGAGACAGGGTCTCACTATGTAGTTGAGGCCGATCTGGAACTCGCTATGCAGCCCAGGCTGGTCTCGACTTCACAGCAATCCTCCTGCCTCAGCCTCCCCACTGCTGGGATTACAGGCATGCACCACCATGCCCAGCCTCAGCATCTTGAATAAGACTAAGGCCACAGAATAAAATGTCAAACCTGGCAAAATTTTCCATTAGTTGGTCAAATAACACCAACCAGAGCTCAGAAGAGCTGTGCACTGATAAAACACACGCACTTCTATTCTGCTTATCACTACAGCTATACTTGCATATGGTGCTTTTCCCTAAATTTTTATTAGTCCATGTTTGCAGTACAATAATTACATCCATAATGGGGAGTTCATATATGGGCCTAAAAATATCTTACTTTTTTTTTTTTCTTTTTTACTTCCTCTCCCTACCCTGGTCTCTTGGTCCCTGGGGAAGGCACTTCGGAAACCTGAGGTATAACAAATGCACTATAATAACCAGACCAGAAACCATCAAAACCAAAGAGACCAGTTCCAGAAACCAATGAAGACTCAGATCTAGACAAAAGACTGACTAACCTACTGGGCATTTGCAGGGAAATGTTACAACATACTAAAACAAAATGCTGGCAGGGGATTTAGCTCAGTGATACCTCTGCCTGCCTTTTAAGGTCCCGAGTATGAACCCCAGTACAAAATAAATAAATTAAATAATAAAAAATAAAATAATATAGCCGGGCTTGGTGGCGCACACCTGGAATCCCAGCACTCAGGAGGCTGAAGCAGGAGGATCGCTGTGAGTTCAAGACCAGCCTGGGCTACATAGTGAGCTCCAGGTCAGTCTCAACTACATAGTGAGACACTGTCTCAAAAAACAAAAAACAAACAAACAAAAATTTCAGACTTTTCTTCTCAAACTACTCTTAAGTCTTGAAGCTAGAAACACATTAGGAGACGTAACTTTTTCCTTCCCTTGAACATTTTCAAAGTTCTGCACAGTCTTTTCTATCCTTTGTCACAGTGCCCCTCAGTGTTTCATTTTCACTGTGCCTCTGGTGTCACCATTTCCATACATACAACTCAAGTGACACATGTAATTAAGTAGGCCTCAGCAGTCAACCAGGTAACACCATAAAAAAATCTGATCTTGGATAGCTTGGGATCAAGCCTCAAGAACAGGAAGCAGCCGGGGATTTAACTCAGTGGTGCCGCCACCTGCCTCGCTAGCACAAGGACCCAAGTTCAATCCCTGGTACCAAATAAAAAAACAGGACGCAAACTACAAAATATGTCTTTTTTTGGGGGGGTACCAGGGATCAAACTTGGGACCTTACGCTTGTGAGACAGGCTATGGTACCACTGAGCTAAAACCCTGACCCCAAAATATGTCATTTTAAAAAGTTCATATTCTTGGAACAGTACTCAGCACCGACAAGAAGCAAAGTACTACTACTACATGCAATAACTCAGATGGCTTTCCAGGGCATTAGGGTAGATGAAAGGGCTATTCTCAGACTATGAAAGGTTATATACCGTATGATTCCATCTCTACAACCTTTCAAACTAAGAAAAATATATGACAGAAAGCAAATCAATGGTTAAATCTGGAGGAGGATTTGATTTATAAAGGAGTAACATGAAACAGTTTCTTGTGATAACAGAAAAGTTATACATTTTTACTTTAATTTACTTAATTAACTTTACTTAATTATACATTTTACTTAATGATGGCCACTCATTTATACAAATGTGATAAAAATCATACAACTAAGTTGGGCATGGTAGTATACACCTATAATCCCAGCACCTGGGGAGGCTGAGGCAGGAGGATTTCAGTTCAAAGTTCAAAG